TCTTCCTCCTTCTTCTTCCTCTTCTTCTTCTTCTTCTTCTTCTTCTTCTTCTTATGTCTGCGTAGTTTTTTGTATAGTTTTTTCTTTTTTGTTATATTTATTTTCTTCTATTTATTTGTGAGTAGTTTTTCATCTAGTTTGCTAAAATTCAACATTTTCAGAGTTTATTTTGTAGTGATTTTCAATTTCATGGTCATTTTGTAAACGATTGAAAAATAGCAAATATAATTTTTTTTCTTTTCTGCTTTATTTTTTCTTCTATTTATTTCTGAGTAGTTTTTTATTTTCTGCTATATTTATTTTCTTCTATTTATTTCTGAGTAGTTTTTTATTTTATTTTTTTCTTTTCAGCTATAGTTTTTCTTCTTTTCTGCTATTTTTTCTTTTCTGCTATTTTTTCTTTTCTGCAAAACTTGATGGTCAAATTCTGGAGTTATAACTTAAAAAAAGAAATGTCGACGTGCAATTAGTTTTAGCCATAACAGAAGAAGTCCGGAGTTGTAATAAGTTATTAAAAATAAAAAAGAGGTGCAATGCTCGTTAATTTGCTTCAAGCCTTTCGCAATAGTGTAAACTGCACTGCGCATAGCTCCATGCAGTCTACCGTATTCCTAAAGGCTTGAAGTTAAGCAACGTGAGCATTGAGCCTCTTCTTCATCGTCTCTGCACTCAGGACTTATAAACTGCTCTTAGTCCCTCTCACTTCGCGAGGTGGGACTAAAAAACAGCTTGCCATAACCTCATTAGTACCGGTTCGTGGTATGAACCGGCACTAAATGGTGATGGTGGGGCCATAGCCTGACCGCAGGCTGACACAGCCTCTTTAGTACCGGTTCGTGGCATGAACCGGTACTAAAGGTTCGCCACGAACCGGTGCTATTGATCGCCGCCACGAACCGGCACTAGTGTACATATTAGTGCTGGCTGAAATTCCAATCGGCACTATTGTGCTTCACATTTGACCCTTTTTCTACTAGTGTACTAACTAGAGTTAACTAAACGTACCTTTGAATTTTAACCATGCAAGGGAGATGCATATGAGTATCAGAACACCAGAGCCTACGACTGGCAGCACAATCCTCACTGTGTTGCCCTTTGTTCTTTTACCTGTGCAACAAATAGATATACAAGAAAAAGTGGTTTTATTATTTCTCAGTTGAATAAGAAATTAAATATTTCTAAATAATCACTAACAACGATGAAGCTAACATCATATTTGTGCAACTAAAAGGGGGACGAGAAAATCTTGATCCAGCAGCTATTATATATATTGACCGAGAAATAACTATTTCTAGCGAGCGATGCTCACAAATGAATGATAGAACTAGAAACATGTTATGAAAAACAAAACAAGTTGTAAAAAGAGAGAAATGACAGACCAATATGATGAAGAGGAAGAAATTGAGATCTAATACCTTTTGTTGCATCCATGCCTGCACGTCGAAGATAGAGTGTCGCGCCACTGAGCTCCCCCACCTTTCCCGTGTCTATTAACTCCCCAGACCACACAAAGCACCTCGTCACGTGTCCTCCAAACCTGCTGCTGCTCAGGTTGGCGAACGCGTATGCCACACAGGAGCAATTGCGGTTACACTCAGCCGCGCACTCCTCATACTTACTCCTACCTCCACCTAGAAACAAAAACCTGTCAGGCAACTTCATATCCGGCAAGGCCACGAAGCCGTCACTGCACCCTTGTGGTGTCTCCTTCCTTCGGCACCCCGCCGAGAATCTGCCGCTGGTCCACTCCTCCGTGCTACTCGGCTCAAAGCCATCTACGCACTTGCATGTTGGCATGGTGGGTATCGTGACCGTCTCGTCGCAGTATCCATAGGGGCCACAGTAACTGTAACGGTTGCATTCAACGGTTGGAAACTTCCAGACGACAACCCATACTGATGACCTACTGCTCCAGCTTTGGATCTGAAACTCACCATAGTAGGTTAGCACAAACCTGGTGCGCGGGGCGCCGTCCGAGAGGCTATAAGTAACGTATCCCTCATCGTCATTGTCGACATAGGCTAGGTAGATGATATGATCGCTGATATTTGTGTCCCCAATTAGTTGTTGTTTGCCTAGATATCCTGTCCAAGGAGCGGCACGAGATACCGAGTGCTCGCCGTCCCACAGGAATACTTGGAGCGACATGTTCGTGCCGCTGCCATAGGAGAAGCGCCCCTGCGAGGGGAAGCAGGGGCCTTTCCATGATACCAGGCGCTTGGTGGTGGTACGCGTCCTCTAGTTTATGCCGAGTTTCATGCTGGGAAGGAAGGTGTCTGTGCGGTGGTCGAAGCTCTGCCACAGCATGGTGCCGTTTGACGATCGGATGATGAGGTTACCTGTGTTTAGAAGCACCGCCGTCGGGGTAGACCAGACCAAACCAGTGGTCACGTTTGCAGTTGTCCAAACGACACGGCTTCCGCCACCACCATCAGAGAGAACCAGATTAGAGCTGTTGGTGAGGGAGAGCTTCGGTGTTGAGGAAGTTGTATTGGTGGCCGGGGTATTTCGGTTGGCGACCCACACAACGGTGAGCTCAGGGATGTTGTTGTACCATACGCCTAGGTACAGGCTGGCCGGAGAAGAATTGGAGGGGTTGAAGAAGCCCAAGGCAAATCCACCATCATCGGAGACGATGGTGTCACCAGGGGACAGCGCCCTGCCAGGGACAAGCCGGTCTTGGGAAGCACTCAATGGTAGGAAGAGAAGGACCATGACCATGGTGCAGCCGGTGAGAGCCGGCCAATCCATCGACTGATCAGGCTTAGATCTTAGTACTAGTTAAGGTCCAACTAACTAGTTACGATAACTGGGAGTAATTAAGTACTTCCCGTAAAAGAAACCAAAAACTAGGAGTAAGTACATAATTGTACTGATCCTTGGTCCAGAAGCAAGCGATGCTTTGACGAATGCAGCATCCACGAATGTTCGACCGCGGAAGCAGATGATTGTATACTGCAATGTTGTTGGAATTCTAGTAGCTGAGACTTGACAAATGAGCTGTCCACGTTGGAGTTGGGATGCCACCGTCATTGCTTACTTGTCAGACTAGTGACTGAAACATTAAGCTATATAGAGTGATAGCTTTTGTGTATCAACACTTTATTCTGGTCGGACTGCTTCTTATGCAAATGCAGCACTGACTGCTTCTTATGCAAACATTAAGGCGAAGTGTCAGCCTTACTCTGTCAAGCGCCTAATTATATAGCAATCTCTTTTCAAAAATCCGTGCAAGTTCACCCTTCTTTTTTTTGAACAAGACACCAAGATCAACTGTCAATCTGTTTGTTAATCAGACATGCCAGTGTCCATTTGTTGACATGTGGAATCCATCTTATCCACTACTAGAACGGCATTAATTTCTTGACAAATTGCTGACCGGATCCAGCACGCACGTCAGGTTGATAATGAAAGCGGATGACTGGAAAATGCAAAGCTCTGAATTCTGAAAGAGTCTTGGAGTTGACATTTCAGCTGTCCACGTACGGTACTTAACAGCTTACAATGGCAATGTCGCTGGTGTAAACTCAGCTGGGCCCTGGTGTAAACTCAGCTGGTGGCTCCAAACGTACGGTGCTTAACAGCTTACACATGGCATGGATCCAAACAGTGTCTTTTGAAACAATTTTTACTAATTCTTTTCCTTTTTGAACCATGCACGAGAACTGCATGTGATCAATAAGGAGAACTTGAACGCACTTCGTGAGCCGCAATATTATTTTCAACTGTACTTGAAAGTATAGTGTACTTGAAGGAACTGAGTCTAGCTGCCAACCCTGTACACATCACTATCAGCTCAAATTGGATCCCCACATTTAACTTGTATGAGGCTCATTTTGCAAGTACCAAGATGGGGCCTCATTTTCCATTGTGGCTCAAAGGACAGAAGGATATTAGTGAACTTGACATTTCAGATGCAGGCATAGTTGATGTTCTCCCTGATTGGTTTTGGACTGTATTCTCCAATGCTACATATGTAAATATCTCTTGTAATCAAATAAGTGGCCGGCTGCGAGCAACACTGTTATTTATGACTTCTGCGAAACTTGACCTCAACTTAAATGGCTTCACAGGTTTGCTGCTACTGCTACCAGAATCGCTAGTGTTCTTAGATATCTCCAAGACTTCTCTATCAAGACCACTCCCCCAAGACTTTGGAGCTCCAATGCTGAGAGAGCTTGTATTCTTCGCAAATCATATGAATGGAACAATTCCAGTATATGTATGTCAGCTGCAGTATATGAGAGTATCAGATCTTTCAGAAAACCTTCTAGTAGGTCAACTTCCCCGATCTTTCAGAAAATCATATCAATGGAAGCAGGCTGTTGTCGGCTCTGATCTTGCACGACAACAACCTTTCTGGCAAATTCCCTGAATTATTGCAATACAGTCCAATTTTCAAATGTCTCTGGCCAAAATATCCACAAGATGCTGGTGCTTCACTGAAGACTGAAGACTGAAGACTGAAGACTAGCTTGTGCTTTCTCATTTTCCGTTTATCTTTTGCCCTGGATCCATGCTTGTATTTCGCGTTTTCCCGCAGTTCACTTTGTACTCCGGGATTAAGTGCTCTCCTTGACCTTGTATTTGCTGGACTGTTGCTGAAAAGCCGTAGCCGCGTTTCGTCATGAATATATAGCAACATAAAATCCGCAGGGCGGCCTAATAAGATGAACCGGACTACAAACCTGCATTCCTTTACAAGACGGAAAGTTTGCCAAATTGTGAGAGCCATTGGTACGGTAAGCATAGAGATGCATTCTCGCTCAGATCAAGTTATCCTTCCGCAAAGTGTCGAGCCCTCGGTATGCTACAGAAAGCTCTGGCACGAGCCCTCGGCATTACGTCGAACAGCTGCTGAGCAATACCACAAGGCCGGCGCTGCTGGTCACCCATGCGCGAGGCTGATCTCTGTGTCGCTGGATGCTCCGCAAGGACTCCCGCGTCCTCTGGTGATGCCCGGAGGAAATGGAGGCAGGGGGCGACGGTGCGAGGCGAGGAAGCACGAGTGGAACGGCTACGGAGCTGCCGGAGGAGACAGAGGGCGTGGGTGAGGAGCGAGGCGCTTTTTTTTGTCTCTCCTCCGTTTCTCGAGTCACGGGCCCATTGCAAGTACCAAGATTGGCCCATGAAGCAGATTCCTTCCGGATTCAAGAACGCTCTCGGCCGCTTGATTCAAAAATCGTCCACGGAGTCAAAAACATGTTCACCGGATTCAAGAAAGGTTCTTGAGCTCAAAATGTTCGTGATTTCAAAATAACGTACAATTTTATATCTTGACGAAAAAAATTATGAGTTTTTTTAATAATGATCAACATTTTTTGTATTTGATGAACACATTTTGACTTTGATGAACATTTTTTGAACTTGATGAACAAAATTTGTATTCAAGATACTTTTGAAAAATGGATGAACAAATTTTTAATTTGATGAACATTTCTTTAAATCAATTAATACTTTTTATGAATATTTTTAAAATTTGATGAACAATTTTTGAACTTTTGATGAACATTTTTTAAATCCTGTGAAAAAAATTGAATTCGATGAAGTTTTTTCTACATTGATGAAAATAAATTAAATCGATGAACAAATAAATGTTCGTGAATTTGAAAAAAAAATCACAAAAAAGTGAAAAGGAAAAAACTGGAGAATGGGCGGGCCCATACGAACGCCCGGCGCCAGGTCCCGGCGCACCGTATA